TGGGACAAAACTAACCTAATTTGCCCGAAATGCTCAGCATAACAAGCGGCTTTCTATACAGTAGTATGTCACTGATGTCAGCTATGGTCTGTATACCTTGTACATGTAGTAAATAAAGGTATTATTGTGTTGCACCTTTTCACATGGCAGTAAATATAAAGGTTAATTATTATTACAATCAAGGGGGAAGCGCTAAACCCGGAGGATTATACAGCGCCTGGGGGGGGATGTGGAAGGCATTCAGGCTTAATTTGGGGAACTGGAGCACAGATCCAATTCCCTAAATCAAGAGCCCCTCACCAATAAATATGAAGGTGGCATCTTGGGAGAGCTTCTTACCTTAGACTCAGGTTTTGAAATAAAACTGTGTTAGGATAACGACTTAATTTAACACCAGAAATTATAGTTCTTGAATCTGGTAACAAATCTGAATACCGCTACGAAAAATACTATTATGAAATTTAATTTCTGAATTGATTTTTAGCACTTCCCGCTGACAATAAAAATTGGATTAAGTTTAGCTAATGATACACCTGGTGGCTAAAGCTCCCGCTTCACACACGGAGGGCCCGGGTTCGATTCCCGGCGGGTGGAAACATTTCGACACGTTTCCTTACACTATTGTCCTGTTCACCTAGCAGCGAATAGGTACCTGGGTGTTAGTCGACTGGTGTGGGTCGCATCCTGGGGGACAAGATTGAGGACCCCAATGGAAATAAGTTAGACAGTCCTCGATGACGCACTGACTTTCTTGGGTTATCCTGGGTGGCTAACCCTCCGGGGTTAAAAATCCGAATGAAATCTTATCTTGTTAATAGGAGCCGTTAAGTTTTTTTTTTTTCACTATATCGGTTGGTAGAGCACTTAGCTCACACATTGAGGTTTGTGGTTCAAAGTGTCCCTGCTCGCAGATGATGTGAAGTTAATGAGGAGAATTAAATCAGATGAGGACCAGACAGGTCTACAAAGAGACCTGGACAGGCTGGACACCTGGTCCAGGAACTGGCTTCTTGAATTTAACACAGCCAAGTGCAAAGTCATGAAGATCGGGGAAGAGCAAAGAAGACCGCAGACAGAGTATAGACTAGGTGGCCAAAGACTGCAAACCTCACTCAAGGAGAAAGATCTTGGGGTGACCATAACACCGAGCATGTCTCCGGAAGCACACATCAACCAGGTAACTGCTGCAGCATATGGGCGCCTGGCAAACCTGAGAAGAGCATTCCGGTACCTTAGTAAGGAATCGTTCAAGACACTGTACACCGTGTATGTCAGGCCCATACTGGAGTACGCAGCACCAGTTTGGAACCCGCACTTGATCAAGCACGCCAAGAAATTAGAGAAGGTTAGTTCCAGAGCTAAGGGAAATGTCCTACGAAGAAAGGTTAAGGGAAATCGGCCTGACGACACTGGAGGACAGGAGTTAGAGACATGATAACGACATACACAATACTGCGAAGAATTGACAAGGTGGACAGAGACAGGATGTTCCAGAGATGGGACACAGAAACAAGGGGTCACAATTGGAAGTTGAAAGACTCAGATGAGTCAAAGGGATGTTAGGAAGTATTTCTTCAGTCATAGAGTTGTCAGGCAGTGGAATACCCTAGCAAGTGAGGTATTGGAGGCAGGAACCATACATAGCTTTAAGATGAAGCATGATAAAGTTCATGAAGCAGGGAGAGGGAGGATCCAGTAGCGCTCAGTGAAGAGGTGGGGCCAGGAGCTGAGTATCGACCCCTGCAACCACAATTAGGTGAGTACAACAGGCCAAGTGTCTTATCGACATGTGCCTTTGACAGAATGGTAACTAACAGAGTAAGGCTCTTAGAGCAGGGAGAGAGGGGACCTAGTAACGACCAGCGAAGAGGCGAGGCCAGGAGCTATGAATCGACCCCTTACAACCGCAAACAGGTAAATCCACACACACACACGAGCTGTGAATCGACCCCTGCAACCACATAAGTGACTTACTCCCTGTTACTCAGTGTGCTACAGTAAAATTTATATAATAACGCTCCCTATGTCATTTTCCGGGTTTGTACTGAATCCGAACGTGTATTATTCCCGGGCAGTTAGTGGCCAGGAGACAGTAGATGAGGTGTGGTGAGTGTCAGTGGAACAACACTTGCTCTAAGATCTGCTAATACATCAGGGTGTGTTTAGTAGGGCTGGTGTTTTTTTGTAAGTTTATACCATGTTATTTTAGTGCTGTCATGTTTATTTGTCAGGCCCTAGTATGCTGAGGCCTGTTTATGGTGTTTTGCCTGCTGGTAATTGATCTACCAGACAAGTGAAGACGTCATGGAGCCTCCCTGATAATTTATTTGTTTAACTCACTAGCACACTGCTACTAATGAGCTAAACAAAATAAATTATCAGGGAGGCTCCATGACATACCCCCGTCTTCACTTCTGTCTGGTAGATTAATTACCAGCAGGCAAAACACCATAAACAGGCCTCAGCATACTAGGGCCTGACAAATAAACATGACAGCACTAAAATAACATTTGGTATAAACTTACAAAAAAACACCAGCCCTACTAAACACACCCTGATGTATTAGTGCATCTTATTGCAAGTGTTGTTCCACTGACACTCACCACACCTCATCTACTGTCTCCTGGCCACTAACTGCCCGGGAATAATACACGTTCGGATTCAGTACAAACCCGGAAAATGACATATGGAGCGTTATTTCTTATATAAATTTTACTGTTGCACACTGCGTAACACGCACACACACATATACACAGGACCAAGAGCTAGAGCTCGTTCCCTCTCCTCCCATGAGGCAAACTTCAGTAATGAGAATAAGGCAGCGCCACCTGCTAGTTACCCCTCGAGCAGGTAGCAGCAGGAGTGACATGCAGACCATGAAACGTGCAGCAGGAGCCACTTCCTACACCTATACAGGGAAGTAGCTCTCGTGTTGCTCACTGTTCACTTTCACCGTCACCACCACCGGCACCACCATCACCACAAGCAACATCATTATCACAACCAGCATCACCACATTATCGCCACCACTACTATCACCGCCAGTATCACTACCACCATACCCATTACCACCAGCATCATCACCATCACCACCGTTGCTAACATTCACCACCAGCATCACTACCAGGCTTCATTACCTCCACTACCACAGCCACCAGCTTCACTGTCACCAGCGTCACCACTACCAGCTTCACTGTCACCAGCGTCACCACTACCAGCTTCACTATTACAGCGCGTCTACCCACTACACCGTTCACTATTCACCAGCGTCACCACTACCAGCTTCACTATTACCAGCGTCACCACTACCAGCTTCACTATCACCAGCGTCACCACTACCAGCTTCACTATCACCAGCGTCACCACCACCAGCTTCACTATCACCACTCACCACCACCACCGGGCCCCCCTTCACTATCACAGCGTCACCTCCACCAGCTTCACTATCACCAGCGTCACCACCAGCTTCACTATCACCAGCGTCACCACCACCAGCTTCACTATCACCAGCGTCACCCACCAGCTTCACTATCACCAGCGTCACACCACAGCTTCACTATCACCACAGCGGTCACCACCACCTAGCTTCACTATCACCAGCGTCACCACCACCAGCTTCACTATCACCACCACACCACCACCAGCTTCACTATCACCAGCGTCACCTCCACCATCTTCACTATCACCAGCGTCACCACCACCAGCTTCACTATCACCAGCGTCACCACCACCAGCTTCACTATCACCAGCGTCACCACCACCAGCTTCACTATCACCACCACACCACCTCCCTTATCATTTACTGTATCTTTCACATTTCTCACATGCATATTGGACATGAAGACAACGTCGTCAAGGTCAGTCGACTTTTTGTTAGGGCGACTGTCATCACTCTGTCATCTCACTGTTGGCTTCATTTCTCATTATCATACCAGCATCATTTTTATTGTCACTGACCATCAGTATCTTTACAATTGTTACTTGTATCCTCATTTGCATGTTACCACCAGTATTTACGTCATTTCTTATTTGACATTTTTATCGGCATTTTAAGTTTATTCATGTCCTCGTTTCAATTATAATAGCATACAATACTTACATGACATGTCTTACCATTTACCTGCTCCAGTTTCAACACCTGTTATAGTGTACTTCACTCGGTCATCTTCACCTCAAGCCATATGTTATATCACTTTTTTATATATTTCTTCCCAAGCCACCATAAGATACACTATTTAAAATTATCGTGTCTGTGGTTATAACGTTCATCATCAGTTATACGTATTTATTGTTATTGCCATCTTGTCATTCTCGAGTTTATTTTGGCTATTAATGCTGTCTTAACTGCATTTACCATTATTTCCATCAGACAGTTGTAATCACTGATATATAAACTTGTGTCTGTCATTTACAACTATTGTGTGTGAAGTTATTGTCAGTAAACTGCCATTACCAGTTATCGCATTTATCAATGCATTCAACTGTCGTAGGTTTTTTTCTGTCTTTCAACAAACTTCAGCCTCATTATTTATATGCAGCATTACTGTTATTTTCATGACTACCGTACTAGTATTTTCCACACTCAGATAAACAGAACTAAGTACTGTTCTTTGGTGATTTCATTTGTTAAATTCACCTTTTTGTTAGTTTTGATCTTTATCTTCACAAGGAACTAGTTTTAATTTTGCCCTACTAGTCCTCCTCATGGTATAAATACTAATTATATATAGTACACAGTATTGGCTGCTATTGATTGAAGATTATAATATACACTTGTGGGGGAGCGCTACAACCATAGGAGTTCATACAGTGTTTGGAAGGAATGGGAGTCGATCACGTTTGATCAAGGGAAGGTGAAGCCTAATTCCTAGGATCAAGAGCTCCTCACCATCATCAAGAAACCTTTTCTGGAGAGACTGAAGAGCTGAATGACCTTCAGTTTTAGTACCTTCCATTAGTTGGATTATTCATAGGGAAGTGCTCAACAAATAAATTACATATGATAATCATAATATTGTATTATAAACTGAATTCTAATGTATTTTGTAATACAGTACTGTAGTACATTGTGAACAAAGTGTTTGGTCACAGTGTCTTCCTATTGCAAGTGAATGTTGATGTTTTCTCTTGATACAACACCTTTAGTCACAACTATTACAACTGAGGTTAATACATGCAAGTTATATTCAGCCATAAAAACTATTCACTGCTCATGTTTATGTCATCAAATGTTCTATTTTTTTTATTAACACATCGATTCCTTCTCACCAAGGCAGGGCGACCCGAAAAAGAAGAAATACTATCGTCATCATTCACTCCATCACTGTCTTGCCAGAGGCAAACTTACACTACAGTTATAAAACTGCAATATCAACACCCCTCCTCTAGAGTGTAGGCACTGTACTTCCTACCTCCAAGACTCAAGTCTGGCCAGCTGGTTTTCCTGAATCCCTTCATAAATGTTACGTTGCTCACACTCCAACAGCATGTCAAGTCATAAAAACCACCTGTCTCCACTCACTCCTATCTAACATGCTCACACATGCTGGAAGTTCAAGCCCCTTGCACACAAAACCTCCTTTACCCCCTCCCTCCAACCTTTCCTAGGATGACCCCTACTCCGCCTTCCCTCCACTACAGATTTATACACTCTCCAAGTCATTCTATTTCCTTCCTTCCTCTGTAATATCCGAACCACCTCAACAACCCCTCTCAGCCCTCTGGATAATACTTTTAATAACCCCCACACCTCCTCCTAATTTCCAAACTATTGATTCTCTGCATTACATTCACACCACACATTGCCCTCAGAAACGACATCTCCACTGCCTCCAGGACATATATCCCTCCAAACTGCCAATATCCCAAACCCCTCCTGTAAAGTGCAGGCATTGTATGTAATTATCAAAATATTTAATATACAGTACGTATAGTACTGTTGTGTACATGAACCTTATTTCTGCACTATTTTTTCCTATATATGAATCAAGTGTCCATAATTTTTTCACATTTAAATATGATACAAAATAAATGTTAGTAGTAGACAAGTATATAATTATTCAATTCTTTATGATTATAGCAACTAGTGTAATAACTATATTTATGGCATGAAATCTGTATAACTAAATAACAAGACTTTTCTCTAGATCACTGGTATGTGCACTATTACAACTGAAGTAGTACTCAGTATGGGGAGCCCTTGTGGCTTAGCGCTTTTTTTTTTATTATAATAATAATTGACAAAATGCAACAAGAGGATGCCACTTGCAAAACGTTACTCGTCAATCCTAACCAGCCTGATAAGAAGGGCAAAAAAATTGTATTATGAGAACAGATTATCCAACTTACGAGGTGATATAAAAAAGACCTGGAAAACCCTATCAGAAATTCTGGGAGCAAAAAAGATATCACGAAATAGCGAAATAAAATTAGCAAAATCAGATGAACCCCAACTCCCACCAACTGAAACAGCAAACAGACTCAATGATTTCTTCTCCACTATAGGACAAAACCTTGCCAATAAAATCCCAAGCTCAGATACCCCACCAAATGACTACCTCACTGGCAACTACCCGAACACACTGTTCCTAGCTCCGACTAGCCCATACGAAGTCTCCCTTATTATCAACGCACTAAAAAACAAGGCAGGAGATTTAAATACCTTACCACCCTTTATATACAAAAAAGTGTCACAAGTGCTATCACCAATCATTGCAACACTCTTTAACAAATCCATTGAATCCTCCACCTTCCCTACAGTTCTCAAAATAGCAAGGGTCACCCCGATCCATAAAGGAGGAGACCAAACAGAGTTGAATAACTATAGGCCAATATCCAATTTACACCCTCTCTCAAAAATCTTCGAAAAATTAATTCATAAACGAATCTACTCCTACCTCATCTCCCAAAACATACTCAACCCCTGCCAATTTGGATTCAGGCCTAATAAAAATACTAATGATGCTATTATACACATGCTAGAACATATATAGTACTCATTTGTGCTTTATAGTTATCTGTTTACAATAATGTCTTATCACTGATTTCATCATTGCTTAGTTAATCTTAAGTTAATTTTAAGCCAGCCCGTAATGCTATGCATATAAGTGGCTTTGGCATGCTGCTCTTACCTGTATTTTTTTTGTACCTCTGTATGTATGCTCAAATTAATTAATAAATAAATAAATAAAGAAAAAGTCTTACTCATGTTTTGGTGTAGGTACCCAAGGGAGGTGCCTTGCTGCTGGTGAGGGGTACTCTTGATCCAAGGAACTGAACCTGTCCTCCTGTTCCTCAGATCAAACCTGACTGCTTTCCATTCCCAATGTGCTGAATTACCCTTACAAGTTTATGCTTTTCCAAAATAATAATAATTCAATTTAAGTACAGTATAGCTTTATCAATTGAATGATGTGATAAAGCTCTACTTATAGCAAAATGTCTGTAAATAAAGATTTGCTCTGCATAGTGTCTTTACCATGTCACAGAACTGAGGATTTGAACATGGCAATTATTATAATCAAAAAGAAGCACTAAACTCGCTAGTCATACAGTGCTGAGAACACTTGGCATGCTAGTCCTAAGAGTGGCAGGCCGGTGCACTAACCACTGTACCATGCCAACCTTATGAGATTTCTTTAACTAAGATGTAATATACGTATTTCAATTATAGTATACCTTAGGAAGGTTAGCATGGGCATCACTGACCACAATGTAGGTTTTTACACAATAATCAAACAACAAAATGGCTATAGCAAGCCCATGCAAGGCCATTATCAACTTACTTTAGAAATCATAACATAATAGTAAATCTCTCACAGAACACCGAGTGCACTGAGCTACCAGTTTCAGGACTGTAAGCAATTCTGTGAATTTTTTTTATGATCATGTTACTACAGTTTCACAAGGTGTCATTTTGCCATTATTATTACTGGATCTAAATAATGTACTGCTGACAATTGTAGAACAAGCATTAACTGGGATGACTTTTGTGTGTGTAGCTGTATCAAGTTATGACTTGATACAAGGTGAACTGTTCTTCCAATAAAAGCTTGTTCTGCAAAGTGTCTTTACTATTATCATTTTCCTTATTATATTCACAAACCCAGTATTAAACCACAGAACGGGTGGGGTTTAGGTTTTAGGCCTGACTCGCCATGGGTTCAAACTCCACCCATTCTGTGTTTTTTCCATGAACAGAATTGTTGGTGCTGTGATTGCTTCCACCACTTTCTTAAGAAGATAACCAAATACTGATTTAAGAATCCAATCTGAAGTCTTTGATGGGTTACCTTAACATTTTTTTTACTATTATTACAGTACTGTATTCATGAAGCACTAAACAGTCACACAGTGCCTGTTTTTGCGATAATATCAAGGATTAAAAACCCTTAAGTAAAGTAGGTGAATAACAACTCTCTCATTCCTTAAGGAAGAGGAAGAAATAATATCCAAACACCATCACATTAAAAGCTGGAGAAGGAAAGATTTTCAGAGTATAATCCTGGGGAGGATTAACCCAGGTAAGTAAAGAAAACCAAGCAGTGTAGCTTATATCCACTGGGCTCCTTTGAACCTCTTCCTCAGGATGCAACCCACAACACTCGATTAACAGCTAGGTACCTATGTAATGCTAAGTGAATCGGCACATCATCAGTTGTAAGGAGACTTGTTTGTACGTCTGAATTTGCAGAGGACTGAGCCTGAGTCTTATTGTGTGATGAATGTAGGACCATTAACCTGTGAGTCCCTTTCAGCCTTGCACAATCTGCTGCTTTACTGTTCTAGACAACTGCCACCTGTTTGCTCTAATTATTCGAGAACCATTTCTGAGCAGTATTATGTACAATATTCATTACTAGTATTGAAAGCTTTTTTCTTAGTAAATCATATATAATATCAATAACTTCAAATTTATCTTTAAAATGTTTTATACAAAATTATGGAGAATCTCCACAACCATTATATATTTATCATTTTACATGTGCTCTTTCCACACATTTTTGCCACAACACAGGTGAAAAAATTACTGTATATTTTCAATGAGCATGCTGTAACCTTTGTTTAGCATGGCATAAATTTAGTGTAAACGATGGCATGCTGTACCTCATGACCAACCAACAAGCACAGCCATTGTATTTATGGGTGGGGGCTAATCTCTCTCTTAATGCAGATCTCCCATACTCCCATACAGCCAGTTCTGTGTGTGTGCACCCATTCCATGCCATATTCATGTATACACAAATGCAGTTACATAGATCATACATAGCAGCGTATGTGTAGAGAACCTCGACTGATGATATTACACTCAAAACTAAGCGCTAAACCTACAAGGGTCATACAGCTCATACTTATTTGAGAGGAAAACATACCAGAGATGCATTACAGAATACCTGAGTACTACAGTACAACCATCATTTAATGACAACTCTGCATCAATATCAGTCCACAAACCAAACCTACGATCCACAAGTATTTCACCTCAGCCCAGTAGTGACCCACCAGCCTTCTCTGTGCCTTTCAAAGTCAATGTACACCAGCAACCAGAATTTAGTGCTTCCACATAAATATAACAAAAATCTATTTTATGCATTTTTAAATACACAAACTGTTTACAAGTACCAATTCTCCCTTTTCTGTGAAAGATAAAAGCTTACATTTCGTTACCTCTTAGTGCCACGGTCATCAGTATTATGGTGCACAGGTGGTAGGATCTTTATACTGTGCTTCTGTGCCAGGCACTGGAGTGCCTTGTATTCATTTTGAAGTGCTTCCACTTTGAGTGTGTAATGCTCCTGAACACGATGCACCAGCAACCGCCTCACATCCTCTAAACACAACTAAGACAGTGAAAATATTATTAGGATGCCTTGCATATACCAGGACCAGAAATATAATAACTATCTACTTATACACACACAAGCTTTTCAATAGACATGTAAAACACAAATCTATATGCAGTATATATACTGTATCTGTTAAAATTAAAGGCATATTATATATAGTAATGGATGAACAGACTGACTGATTTATATCAGTATACACAGTTTTTAGTATTTGCCATTTCCCACTAAGGCAAGGTGACTCAAGGAAGGAAAGCACATTCACCATCATTCATTTCCCAGCAGTCTTTCCAGAAGAGCATGGTTATCACAGTTCCAATATCCACCAAAATGCAACATCTCTGCCCATCATTCAGAGTGCAGGCCCTTTGTTTAAAAAGAACAACAAAGGCACAATACTGTGACTGGAATAATACACAAGTATTTCTGCACATAGAAAACCTTATGACGATGTTTTAGTCCAATTTGGACCACTGACAAAGTCACAGTGTGGCTTTGACGGACCGAAACATCGTTGTAAGCTTTTCTTTCTCCTTTGTCTGGGTATTAGACTCTAACCCAAATAATTTTTCTTATAATCACATACAATGATATACTTTATCTACTGACATATACATGTACTTTTTTCTTCTGCAGCAAACCAGCCATATACCACCGTGGCAGGGTGACCTAAATAGCACAACAATTTATAGAGAAGAGGTTACTAGCCTACTCAGTTATTCTCTGAAGGCAATACTAACTGAGAGAATGAAGAGAGTAGACTATAAATTACTATTTTAGGGGGAAGCGCCTTGGAAGACAATGAAGATGAGTGATATGAAAGTATTTCTTCTTTCTTGGGGGCATTCTGCCTCAGTGGGAAACAGCCGATGTGTTAAAAAAAAAAAAAAAAAAAAAAGCTAAACCACAAGGGAATACATTTCCTGGGAATGAGATAATCGGTCTGATTGAGGCTGGGAGAAGAGAACCCCAAATTTTTGAATCAAAAGCCCTTCCCAGCAAAAAGGGGAGAAAAAAAAGTAGAATTATAAGGCTTACCCTTATGGCGAAACTCTGCCTGAAGAAGCGGGCAAAGCTTCAGTGAGGTGGAGGGGGGGCGGGAATGAGACAGAGTATTAGGGATCTTGGACCCCTTTAAACCCTGTGGGGCCCCCGGGGGGATGCACATGAATTCCCTCATACGCCAGGGAAGCTTCCCCTGAAAATGAAATTTAAATGTTCCCATGGAAACTACGTCATACAATATTACTATACGTATTTGTAAGTGTTTTTTGCATGTGTGTTAGAAATTTTTATTTAGGTCACATACACAAAAGTACAATTATTATACTAGTGTAAATATCTGGGTTTCCCTGGAGAGAGTTGGGGGGGTCAGCCCAGCGGCCCGGTCTGTGACCGGGCCCCCTGGGGGAATCAGAGCCTGTAACCGGCTGTTGTGGGGGCTGCACACAAACCAAAACGTACGACCCACAGCCCGGTGGTCGGGAACCGATTTTAGGTGCTTGTCCAGTGCCCGCTTGAAGATGCCGGGGGCTGTTGGTAATCCCCCTTTTTATGTGGGAGGCAGTTAACGTCTCGGGCCCCCGACACTTATTGTATAGTCTCTAACGTGTGGGGACACCCCCGCTTTTCTTGGGGGATTTGATCGTCCCGCCAAGTCTTTTCTTTTGTAGTAAGTATTTTGTGTGCAAGTTCGGTATAGTCCCCCTGGATTTTTTCCCGGTTTTATAAACTTATCTCTCCCGCCTGCTTCCAGGAATACAGGTTTAGGAACCCAAGCGCTCCAAGAATTGAGGGTTTTACTCCCTTGGCGTGCCGTGAAATTTTTACATTTTCTAGGCAGCAATTTCACCCGCTTGAAAGGGGCTGTTTGTGTGGCAATATTCCGCCTAGATAGAACAAGTGACCCGAAGAGTGTCATCATGGGCTTGGCCTCCTATTTTGGAAGGTTCTTCATTATCCATCCCTGTCCATTTTTCCTAGCAGATGCAAATGAATACAATGTTATGGGTCCGTGAAGGTGAGATCCTCCGACATGATCACTCCCAGATCTTGACGTTTGGTGTTTCGCTCTATTTTTGTGCCAGAATTTGATTTTGTACTCTGATGAGATTTAATTTCCCTCGTGTTTTACCAATATCTGAGTAAAATGAAATTTCTACGTTGAACTTCATATTGTTTTCTGCAGCCCACTGAAAGATTTGGACTGATGTCCGCCTGGAGCATTGCAGTGTCTGCAGATGGAAGACACTGTCATGCAGATTCGGGTGTCATCCTGCAAAGGAAACACGGGTGGCTGTGGCTGACATCTTGCTATGTCAATATGAGGATGAGAACAAGATGGAGCGTAGTACTTATGCCTTCGTGGAACAGAGCTTTTCACCGGTAGCTGCCTCAGACTTTACTCTGTTGACGACTACTCTCTGGTTTCTGTAGTGAGGAAATTATAGATCCATTGACCGACTTTCTGTATTCCTTTAGCACACATTTGTGCGCTATTATGCCATGGTCCACACTTGTCGAAAGCTTTTGCAAGTCTGTATATACATGTATTACATCTGCATTCTTTTGTCTTCAGTGCATCTTGACCTTGTCGTAGTGACCCAATAGTTGAGACAGACAGAGGCGACCTGTTCTAAACCCATATAGCCCTGGGTTGTGTAACTGATGGGTTTCTAGATGGGTGGTGATCTGCTTCTGTAGAACCCTTTCAAGATTTTTATGATATGGGATGTTTTAGTGCTATCGTCTGTAGTTCTTTGCTGTTGCTTTACTGCCGCCCTTTGTGGAGTGGGCTATGCTGTTGCTTTAGTAACTGAGGGACGACCCCCGTGTCCATGCTCCCTCTCCATAGGATGGAAAGGCTCTGATTAGGGGCTTCTTGCATTTCTTGATTGAACAACGGGAGTTCCATGAGTCTGGTCCTGGGGCAGAGTGCATGGCATGTCATTATATCGCCTGTTCGAAGTCAATTGCATCAGGATAACATCGGATTGGCTTGTTTAACAAATTCCTGTGGCTCCTCATAAAAATTAATTTTGATCTTCGACTCATCATTCTGGTTAGCGGCTTTACTAAAAACTGAGTCTAATTGTGACTTGAGTAGCTCACATCATTTCCTTGCTGTCCATCTGTGTAGGACCCATCTTTGTTTAAGTAGGGGCCCAATACTGGACGTTGTTCTCGACTTTGATTTGGCATAGAAGAAATACTTTGGGTTTCTTTCGATTTCATTTATGGCTTTTATTTCTTCCCGCGATTCCTGACTCCTATAAGATTCCTTTAGCTTAAGTTCGATGCTTGCTATTTCTCTGACCAGTGTCTCCCTAAGCATTTCAGATATACCTACTTCTTTTAGCCGCATCTTTATTCTTTTCCATCGCCTGTAAAGGGAGCACCTGTCTCTTTCTATTTTACATCTACTCCCCCTTGTGCATACATCGAGTGCCACCAAGTTAATCTGTTCTAGGCATAAGCTGGGGTCTTTGTTGCTTCAGTAATATCTTCCCAGGCTTATATCAGTTAGTGGACTGTTTACTTGGTCCCCTTTATGTTTTGTATTGAAGTTGAATTTGTGAATGCTCCCTCGTGACTAATCTCAAAATGTCGGATCCTGGGGCTCACGATACATGTTCTGAACCTCAATTATGTTTGTCTGAAGTATATTGTTTTTGATATGTGACATTTCTTATACAGATCAATCATTGTTAGTGGAAGATGAGGTCTAGTGTAATTCTCCAGTCAGTAGCTCCTTATTATTTTGCTGTTTAAATTGAAATTTTGTGCAGAGGATTAAAAACTCGTGTGAGTGAGAGTTTTCATCAGAGCTGCCTCCTGGTGTTTTATTACGCAACAATATTATTTTGCTATATCCTCCATTTTTAGGTGCCTTAAGTTGAAATCCGCCCAGGAGCAGAGAATGTTGGGGCTGCAGGAGCTGGAAGATGTTTCCAGACAGTGTCAATTTTTAACAGCTGTTTCCTGGAATTGCTGGATGTTGCATCTGGACCCTTTAGACTACCACAATGACAAGGTTTTTGGTTTCTCGGCTTTATGCTAAAACTTCACTACATCATTTGAGCATTAAGTCAGTTTCTGTGCAAACAAGTGACTCTGCACTGTACATGGCCAAACCCCCCCATTTTGCCTGTTCACTCTGTCACATCAGTATAACTTTGTATCTGGATCCATATTTCGTTGTCAAGTGATCCTTTATGTGGGTCTCAGTGAAAGCCGCGAACATTGCCTTTGCTCAGCAATGCAGTCCACGGATGAAAGGTAATTTGATGTTTGTTTGCTGGCTTTAAAGACCCTATATATTTTGCAAAAGAAGAATGTCTCGGACTGTGGTATTGTTGGTACTGGGGGGGGATTTTTTTTTTTTCCGGCATAGTATCTGTAATCTGGTTGGAGTTTGGAGTGGAGGCCATCGCCTGTGGTTCCCACTCCATGAATGACTGGATTTGGTTGTACCGATTTCTGCCATTTCCCTGCCAATTTTTTTTTCCTTCGCAGGCACTAGAAAAACCTCTCCCTCTTGAGTGGGCTGTGGCTACCCAGGTTTTTCCCATGGCCTGATGTTTCTGTATCTTTTGTCCCCTTTAGATGGTGTGCATGGCAATTTAAGTTTATAGTCACAGTCTTTCCTGTACTGAAGAGGGACACATTTCGGGGTGAAAAAGCTTACAGGAAGGAGTTTGCATTTTCCAGTTGTCATATGGGCACTAGCAGTTTCTAGGGGCGGGACATAGTGGCACGTTCCCGTCTGGTTTTTTCAGATTTCCCCATGTCTGCAGATACCAAGTGCATAGTAAATGTGTCACAGGCTTGGTTTTCCCATTTGCCTTGGTTTCTGTGACTGTTTCCCTGTTGTGCATGTTTCCCAGTCTTATTCCAATCCTCCCTACACCAACAATGGAGCTCCCACCAGTTTGTTTTTGGTAATATATCCTCACTATTGCGTAGTGAGTATTCCTCTTTTTGCCTATTTCCTGTGG